GAAAAATCTTTTGACTGTGCTCAAGTCACAATAGTTGAGACCAAGCTTTCCTTTATCGTGCAATTCTTCTTCAAAGCAGCTCCTTACTTGCTCTTAACTTGATCACAGAGTTTACAAAAACAAAACTATCCAATTTATAATCTTAAAACCCCCAGTGTCACAGAAGTATGTCTGCGGACTTATAACACTAGAAACTGGGATTTGATTGATACCCATGGTTGGCAGAGCACAGATAGCCCACTGTGTAGCTTTGTGCGTAACTACAACAGTTGTAATATTAAACTTCAATAAATGTGTTTGCAGATTTAATACTAAACTAGGAAACTACTTAGTTCTCTATTAAAGCCTGGCGTGTCCTGTTGCTGAGCAGCGTATTAGAAGGTTGCAGGGACGTTATAACTTAGACAGTGCTGTTGAATCACTGCTCTCCCTCTCTTTGGTTAACAGTTCAAAAATTGGTATGATTAAGCCTGAATTTGAGGAGTCTCTGACCTGAGAGTTTAGACAATGCGTCGCATAAGGTACAGTTCGTTTGAAAATATCAAACATAAATACAAATTTAAAGGCGGTAATTACTACAACAACTAGTACATATTTAGAATTTAAAGTAATTATGACTGTTTAAAGGAACACTAAGGTATAGATCTGTGAGGAACTAGAATAGAAGAACACACTGGATCTGCCAGATTTTTATCTTGGGGGAGGGAAGAGTAGAACAATAAACCTGCTAGAATATAGTCTTGGGGAAGAGTAGAATAATATACAGGACCTTCTAGAATATAGCCTTGTATAAAGAGTAGAACACAATAGACCTAGAATAGAGTATTGTATAAAGAGGAGAAGAAAATAGACCTTCTAGAATATAGCCTAGTATAAAGAGTAGAACACAATAGACCTTCTAGAATATAGCCTTGTATAAAGAGTAGAACACAATAGACCTAGAATATGGCTTTGTATAAAGAGTAGAAGAAAATAGACCTTCTAGAATATAGCCTTGTATAAAGAGTAGAACACAACAGACCTTCTAGAATATGGCTTTGTATAAAGAGTAGAACACAATACACCTAGAATATGGCTTTGTATAAAGAGTAGAACACAATAGACCTTCTAGAATATAGTCTTCTATAAAGAGTAGAACACAATAGACCTTCTAGAATATAGCCTCCTATAAAGAGTAGAATACGATAGACCTTCTAGAATATAGTCTTCTATAAAGAGTAGAACACAATAGACCTTCTAGAATATAGTCTTCTATAAAGAGTAGAACACAATAGACCTTCTAGAATATAGCCTTCTATAAAGAGTAGAACACAATAGACCTTCTAGAATATAGCCCTATATAAAGAGTAGAACACAATACACCTAGAATATGGCTTTGTATAAAGAGTAGAACATAACAGACCTTCTAGAATATAGCCTTCTATAAAGAGTAGAACACAATAGACCTTCTAGAATATAGCCTCCTATAAAGAGTAGAACACAATAGACCTAGAATATGGCTTTGTATAAAGAGTAGAACATAACAGACCTTCTAGAATATAGTGTTTTATAAAGAGTAGAACACAATAGACCTAGAATATAGTCTTGTATAAAGAGTAGAAGAGCACTAAACCTGTCACAAACTAGCCTAGAAGAAAGCATAGATGAAACTATAACTGTTCAAAATGTCAGCGTTTCATCTGTGTGACAACGGGCATTGCAGCAATAACATAAATCTCATGTGTATGTTGATCACTTCCCTGATAACTGCATCCTTTAGGTCTGGAATTGTGTGAAGTTTCCCACGGTACACGTGACTTTAGGTAACTCGACAATCAGAAGTACAGTAGCGTTAGACCGGGTGAACAAGGGAAACAACAGGAAATAGTTGTCCTGAAAGTGCTCCCGGAAGACGTGTTTCACGTGGTTACCAATATGCATAAGAAGCTACAATGACGCCCTCTGGTGGTAACATGTGACAACTACGGTGTTTGCTTCTTGTGCAACTTCGCCTTCCTATGTCATACCGTTTGTGAGATATGACTGCGAAACTTTTTTATAATCACCCTATTTATAAATACTCATTTTAGTATTTTAATCTTAACTCTTTATAACCCTCTTCCAGATCATGTCAAATATTAATGAAGAATAAAGATCTTTGCTTTGTGGTATGAATTATGGGCTATAATGAGTTTATTTATGAAGCTCACCCATACATTTCACTCTAAATTCTTTTGTTTAGAATTAACACATTCAATTCCTTAGAAGTCGGACATACAAGACATGCGAAGCTCCGTGTTAATATAGGACATGAATGCTTACGATTCTTCTAAAGAAATGCATAAGACAGGTTTTTGAAAGTAACTAGAAGACAAAATAATTCAATAAATGTTTTTTGATTCGCCATTTTGTTTTATCGTCCGAAACCACTGGTAGTTTTAGCATAAACATATCTTTAGAAACCGTTATTGGGGTAAAATTCACGTGCAGTGGCGGCGCTATAGGGGGCCGTTTGCCCAGCCAAATTTAATCCTACATGCACAGAGCAAATGTAATGTATATAACAAGAAAAAACGTTCGCACGCGCACCACCGTTTTATGGGAATTTTTTTTATTGTATACTAGAATATCTTACAATAATAGGTATTCTCTTTAACCCTACTTTTTTATACTAATTCTACTACTGCACTAAATAATTATTTACTTGATTAAGTAATGCTCGTAAGAACATTGTTAATCAATCCACTTTTCAAGGTCTGTGAGTACTTTGGGGCTTCAAAATTCAATTCAGAGTACTTTTTTGAAACCCATCATTGGCTCAATATAATTTCGTACGATAAAACTTGGGGGGGGGGGGGGATAACGAGTCCATTTAAAATTACACGTGAGTATGTCTTGTTTTGCCCCCCAAATTTTAGGTGCTGGAGCCGCCACTGCCCTTATGGCTCAGACTGTCCTTTCTCTGGTCAGTCATTGAAAATTAAAGATGGCAAGACCTGAACACTTTAAAAATCCCAATTCCACAACTTGCATACAAATTAAACGTCAACAGATAAAATATAAGAAGAGTTAGTGTATACATCATGTAGGTCTAAAATTTGTGA